AAGACGTTTATCACAGTTTCTCTTAACACTAGGAGCATTTCAATACAAGCAATACTTATGAAAACGAGTACTTGTAGAGTTATTTATTTATTCGAAACTAGGTGACCCCGCGAACTTCGTACCGCGTAACAGTCAATAAATGTTATATTAAATTATAGGTAAACTAAATTTAGAAATTTATTAACGTAATAAAATGAATACAAAAAATTTATTGTATTCAATAGTTTATTAGGATATTGATACATAATTAATTATTTTAATGGTCTGTCAGCAAGAACTTATGGGTTGCACTCCGATTGATTCTCTTCAATAAAGAACCTTGTGATATACGATATTTTTTGTTTTTTTATCAGGCGCAAGAACAAATAAAGCAGATGGTTTGCCTACACGTGAACATGCCACGTACAATTGACCATGTGAAAAATAGTCATTTATAGTCATAGCGAATGCAAGCCGAATAGGAAATTGAATTCGTTTAAACTCAAAGGGCATATCGATTGAGATCATTGGAATCCTCGGAATGAGAACTTCATCACTTTTGAATTTTCCTTTGAGTATCATTGCGTGAATCACATTGGCCATCAGTTTTGTTATCACTAAACGCGTTCCATTGCATAGTTTTTGTTGGTTTAGATTTCGAAGCATAATGACTACCGAACCAATCTTTAATTGTAAATTGTGCGGTGGTAAGCCAGGCACATCCAAGGAGTTCAAAAATTCAGTTGGATAGTTGGTAGCTTCTTCTTCGTTTGTTACACAGTCAATAGATTTGAATGTATGCAGAGGACCAACGATTTGATTTTGAATTACAAAGCTTAAGTCATTCATATCTTTGTTCTTAGCTGCCAAAATTGCTCGCTCACTCAACCATTTTTTGTTTTTATGATTATCAATGATGTTCGGAAATACTTCATTGATGAGTTCGTCTTTTGATGAGACGAAATTGCAAAAATTTGAAGGAAATGCAATTAATCCGCTCGATTCTTCAACAGCTACACGGCCATTACCGATTAACAGCAATTGCTTGGAGAACTCTTCAGCAGATGTATCGTTTACCAATACAACTCTCATGTTTGTTATCAGCTGAAGTTTCTTCACATAGCGCCAAAGATTTGATGATTTAAGGCAAGCATTTATTTCGTCGGCAGCAGTCGATTTTGGAATGACTGGGAGTGTTTGGCGAAAATCGCCAGACAGTAAAATCATTGCGCCTCCAAAACATCTCGAGTCATTGCGAAGATCTTTCAATATTCTGTCAAGTGCTTCTAATGCGCGTTTGTGCGCCATTGTGCATTCGTCCCAGATGATGATTTTAGATGCTACTAAAACTTTAGCCATTGCAGAATGCTTCGCAATATTACATATCGGTTGCTAATCTGACTAACAAACTACCGCAGGTATGGTAACATATGTCTTCGATCAAGAGCAAAGCCTGATTATGCATTTCATCATTCTCCTCAAGATCGGGATTTCTTGAACTGACACGAATTCTATGTAAAATGTCTTCTGACATATTATCCTTATATTTGTTCCACAGGTCACGTGGATTCGATGGTATTTTGACAACAATATTTATTTATTATATTTGAATTTATCATATTTGAAATTTCAAATATTTCAAATATTTGAAAAAAAAATTTAAAAAGAAATCAATATCACTCAAACTGTCGAACTGTCAACAGTTTGAAACAGCATTTACAAATTTATTATTTTTGCAAAAATTAGTGGATTTTTCCAATATTTTATAATGTATTCTGCTATTCGGAGCGGAGACGATTCCAACAAATCAAAGATAATTAAAATCGGTTCAGCCGTTCTTGAGTTATGAGTGGTGTAACTAACACAACTTTCTTTTATGTATATAGATTATTATATAAACTGGTAAGGTGAAGTCTGTTTAAAATTAGATTATATTTGTGTTGTTAATACATATATAAATAATCACTAATCAACTTTTACCCAACCATGATGGACTGAGTTTATTTAAAAACGGTTCTGAGGACGTAAATACCTTCAATAATTCAATTATTGTAGGAAGGTAAAAATGAGTAAATAGGCTATTTACAAAATGATGGACTACTTAAAAGCAGTCGATAACAATACACTTTTTTTAAGATGTCTGTGTAGTTCAGTAGGGACGTAGTTCAGTCCCATAAAACCAGTCCCCCGAAATAATATCCTGCACTGCTAATCATTTTTAGTATACAATCATTGTTATTTTTCAACAATTCACAATATTATTGTATGCAATACAATCTATCAACATTGTAATATATTCAATGTTGAACTATTTCTAGTTACCTTTTGCTGGGTGCACATATACCTAAGTAAAAATTTTGGTATGTAGATATTTCCTGAATGAAATTGGAATTTATATCAAATGATATTCAATGACAGTTTACAAGTACACAACAATATTCAAATATTAAATATATTATTTAACAGTCCTTATATTTAGAAGTGTGAATTATGTTTTTACTATAAATCTATATACATTTGTCAACTAAATACCATACACGACGTGAAAAACATGTATATATAGTCTAGTTATTTAGCAATAATTCTGCATTTCCTATTAAAGAATCTTTGTTTGTTAACGATTTCTGTAATACAGAAAATTAAAGTCAAAGGTTGACTTAAAGTGAGTTGTAAATATATGTTATATAGTTAATCAATTTGTTGAAAAGTGTGTAAATAATCCAATGAAGGCAACTTTGGTGATGATAACATTGAACCTACAATATATTATACATAATATATTAAGACAATTACTAAAGCACTTCAACTCCTAACTAATAAGGATACCTTCTTAATATATAAAGAAAATTCGTATCAAATCTAATGAGCTTTATAGTTTCTAAACTGTTTTTTATTAACACATATAAAAGTGTGTTATAATATATATAGTATCTATCAATTGTTCTTAGTAGTTATATATATGGAGAAAGACTCCAACCTTAACCTGCAACCTGATTTATGTTTGTTTATGTTCATATTCCTAGTGATACCAATAAAGGCTCGTATGCTGGATATTGATATGTTTAAAACTTTATGAGAGACTACTACTTAAAATAATTCAAACTTTTCGGGATCTAAACCAAGTCATACCACAAGAGAAATTTTGATTTATGAAATAGCAATATATATATATGAAATAGCACAATAAAGCATAGATTGATGTCTTTATTAACAAAGACATTCGAAGCAAATCAATATTGCAGTACACTCTGTTTAGATGTCGAATATACATTAAATAAGATTTGATTAAAAGATTTGTTGTATTTAAATATATACGCAACATTTATACATATTTTATAAATATATAGATTAACGAAGAACCTTATATTAATAAAAACACTTCTGATAACAAATAAATTACCAGTAAATCATCTAGTCGATCGAACATACCTATTTAGTGATACCATTCTAAGTCAATAACACATTTAATTAAAGTTATGTCCAAATTTAATGAACATTTGTATATATGTTGGTTGTAATACATTCCTCTGGTATTACAATAGAAACAAGACAACACTTACTGAACTTGAGTAATTTGAACTTAAGTCATACAATAAAACATGAAATGTCAGTTTAACATGTCGGGTGTAACAATTTACAGGTCTCATCTCATTGGCATCTGTAGCCAGTTCTCTATCTTTAGCTAGTTATATGGTAATACAGTCCATGAACACTTTGAGGTAACGTGCCAGCAATCTCAGCGCTGTTTTACTGAAGGAAGAAGAAGCCTACCAAGTTAGTAAAAACAAACAAGCTCAACCAAGAAATTATTAATATTTTGTTTCATCATGAAACTTTTTTCATTCAATGATAAATTTTATTCAATTTTATTTCAAGTGGTCACAGCAACCGTGCTATTCTGAAAGGAGATTAATTGTAGTTATATCATCTACCCAGAGGGAAGTTTCCAGCAGATGCTAAGATATTTTAATTGTCCCAATTCGCAAAAAAACCATTCTTTCTGCTAATCGGATATACCGGGAATATCAAATGCAATATGTTGATATTTAGAGAAGGACTTATTGTCAATTACTGAATAATTCCATAAAGACTATACTGTTCCCATAGTACATATTGTACTCTATCTCATTCTCTATTGCTTTGATGGAAGTGGGCTTGTAACCCTTTTTTTAATAGCTATATGTAATTCTACTGACGTAAAATGCTATAAAAGGTGCTCTGCCTTTTTGATAATGTTGCTGCTCCCCCTTATTATCAGTTGATTTTCAGCACCTCTGATTATAATTCTATAACTATTTAAACTTTCCAAGATGTAATGGTCTTAGTCGTGACTTCTTCTAAAGTTCAAACTTCCACCAAATTCACCACTAGTGCTCTGAAGAGTTTGTTATATAAAGGGAAATGGCTTTTACTTTTACCGATTAAGATGACTGTAATAGTCACCCATAATTTTAGGTTATAATCTTTGACATCTTAGCTATAAAAGGACATGTGTCTAGTTAAGGTATACTAAAGATTTTAAAACAAAAGAACTACATCTGTAATTTTCTTTGATATAAAGGCGCTATAAAAATTATTTTTGTTGTCACAAATTGAGGCATTTATCCAAACCTCATATTGTGCAACCATATTAAGTTGGCTTCTTTGAGCTGTCCGATATCACTGCACAAAAATATTGTTTGTTGGCTATGTCGACCACTGCTTATTCTCTAAAGTTTAGTAAGACTTCGAGGTACTGTAAGTCACTCGAATTTTTTTACAAGCGTTTGGAAACCGAATGTATCCTTGAACTTAGAAACTGAGAAATTACTTATTGGCGTAAAAAGACTAGTTTACTGACCTCTTGATGAAATATATTCGACCAATGGTTATTTCAAGTGAATTTATAACAATAAATATATGTTCAATTTTTAATTTTAATATTGTAATATTGAAATATTTTTAACAATAAAATCAAGCTTTACTGCTTAATTCTATTCAAATTTGGTTTTAATTCTATTGTTCTTATTTTTTCTTTACAGCGAACATTATATTTCGGAGCACACTATAATGGCCGTTTTTACCTCCCAAGGTCAAATAGGTGGACCTTGCAGATTCATGCCTGCCACTCGACGACAGAATCATCAATGTCGTAAAGAATTTGGTTTACCGGATACCATTAAAGAAGCACGACGTTTAGCCAATCTACACTGCGAAGATCAGTTTCGTTATGATCGATGGAATTGTTCGATTGCAACTCGCGGAAAGCGTAATATTTTTAAAAAGCTTTATAAAGAAACTGCTTTTGTTCATGCTCTAACAGCAGCGGCAATGACACATTCAATAGCTCGGGCTTGTGCTGAAGGACGAATGACAAAATGTAGTTGCGGACCTAGGAAACAAAACCGTGTGGATCAAGATTTTCAATGGGGTGGCTGTAATGATAACCTTAAACATGGAAAGCGAGTAGCAAGAAGTTTTTTGGACTTACGTGATGGAGGTGGCGATGAAGTAACTGAAATATTGAGGCATGATTCAGAAGTACGATGAGTATCATTTCATAATTTTTAATGTTGACGAAAAATTTTAATATTTTTTTCCTTAAATTTTTAATTAGGTTGGCATTGAAGCTGTGTCTAAGTTGATGAAAGATAAATGTAAATGCCATGGAGTTTCGGGTTCCTGTTCTATGAAAACCTGTTGGAAAAAACTTTCTGATTTTAATGCTACTGCTACATTACTTCGTAAAAAGTACAATGAAGCCATCAGAAAAGCACCAAATACTCGTACTATGCGACGCGAAGCAGCTACAAGTCGCGTGAAGAAACCAAAACAACGACGAAAAAAAGTATGAGCACATATCACTACAATTAATTATTTTTCAATAGTCCTCTTTTGATTTGTTTTTATAGCAACAATCACAATATACGACACTATACTATTTGGAGACCTCACCTACATATTGTTCGGTTACTAAAGATCGTCAATGTCTGCATCCAGACAATTGTGCTAATCTGTGTTGTGGTCGTGGCTATACGACACGTGTCTTTAAGCAAGTAGAAAAGTGTCGCTGTCGATTCAATAATGGGCGATGCTGTCAACTAATATGCGATTATTGTCAACGCTACGAAGACAGATATTTTTGTAAATAGACATCATTCTAAAGTATTTTCATTCCTATTTATATATGATTACTTTTTGTCATATTTTGTATAGAAAAATTGTCACTTTTATTCCATATTATCGTTTTTCATTCTCTACCTCTATTCTTTAATTCTTTATCCACTCATCTATTATGTAGCTCCGAAAAAATTATTCATAAAAAAACTGACAAAATATTGTAGCAAAATATACTAATTTTAAATATTAAAATTAAAAGTTTAAAATCAATTTAAAAAAAAATGTCTCAAATTAAAACTAAAATATTGCAACAAAGCAAAAATAAATAAAAAACCAAAAATTATATATAAAGAAATAATAAACACGCTACAAACATGATTACTGTGACTTTTATTTATTTTATTATTAGTTCAGTTAACAATGAACGTAAGAATAAAATGAAAACGTTTATGTATTAGCAAAAAATTATTATTATAATAACATTCCTTCTACATATAATACATGTTTTATATAATATATATTTGCTTTTAAAAATAAAACGGAAAATAATAATAATTAAATTGGCCTTATATTACAAAATTTAAAAATAAACGTTATTATTTGTCTTTTACTTTTCCACGCACGAATAACATGCACATTATACCTTTTATTTCACACACATAAATAACTATTGTTCTTGTCTTACAAACAAGAAACGTAAATATAACTATTTTTTTTAAGCCAAAAATAAAACGCACTGCATGCAACTTATTTTACAATAAAAGCAAGTAAAATAATTAACAATTAGCTTACAATATAACAGTAAGTGCAGTATTGAAAGGAAAAGATGGCATGTTTTCTCTAATGCACTCGGCAAAACAGGAAAACCGTTCATCATCAGTTGTTTTATATATATTTATTTACTTATTAAGTGTATTTTCAAAATACAAAAGTTTCAACTTTTATGTCATCAATACCGTTTACATATATTGAATGGCGGACACAATATTCTACACTTAAACTGCCATTGATATATATTTTACCGTACCTCGAATACATAACGTTCGAAAATAGCTAAATAAGTAATGATCTTACCGAAAACGGAACAAATTTCTGATTATTATTATATATTTAAAATCGCATATTTTGTAATATAATAAGTAGGCGGAAAAATAAAGAGAAATAAAAAAAGAATAGAGAAAATTAAAGGAATTTGGAAGAAAGGTGGATATGCTATCAGATTACGATGGCATGATCGCTTTTCATTTTAATCTGAAACCCGTGAAACCAGGAAGCAGATGTTTTGACATTAGACTGCGATACAGACATAATTTCGTTTCGTATTGTTGGTAATATATAAGTGAACCACCGCTTAGAGGAAAATGCCGAACTCCATACTTTAATGTTATAGGATCAAATGGGTTTTATGACTTAATCGTAAATTAGAATTTTGTTTTTCAAGATTAGTTTCGAATTCGTAAGCCATTGCAATTGCAGTGATTCACATATTATTTAACCTTTTTTCTCTCGTTGGTTAGGGTATGATTATGTTGTTCAACATAAAAGAAAGACTCGATTTCTTGCGCAGCGTAAAAGTGACTTCCACACTTTTTTTTCATTAATTTTGATGTGCTATTTAAAAAGCCATTTTCCAAAAGACTCAAATGGGCTGATAGACTTTACGGTCTACTCTTATGATCATTGTTTCTCAGAGAACTACAAATAGTCAAAGAGAATTTTAATACTATGAATACACTCATAAAAACCAAGTATAAATGCTTAAAAATATGTCTCACATTCGCTACTTATCCGCCTTCAGACTCACCACAGAAATGATTCAGATAAATTCTTGTACTTGTGAACAAATGCCGGTGCTAATGAATCGGTGCCACAAAACTACTTAATAAAGTAGTAACTAAGTAAGCAGAAGTTCTAATAAGTACTTATCATATACTTGAGTGGTATGAATCGATAAGTATACTCATCAAAGAATGAGTGAACACAATGTGAAGGCGTATCGTTCAGTTTTGGAATTCGTACAAATTTTGTATGAACTTTGTTGTGTTTGCTCTAATTATTTTTGTGTTTGGTGTTATGTACGTTGTTGTTGTAAGCATTATAAACACGTGTATTTTGTTTTATTTTTTGAATGTTGTACATACATTTATTCATATTAAATTCAGGGTTGTTTTAGGCAAACATTAGTATAAGTGACACAAAAAAAATTTATTTTTTAGAAGAACTGTTAGAAGGGATCGAATAATAATGAAAAGACAACAACAAAAATTTAGTTAATGTATTGAAATTTGACTAACCATACAACGCTGTTTCGAATATTGTCAAGTACTCATCATTTTTATTAATTTTTAATCAACAATTACAATCGTTTCTATATATCGCTGTAGTTTATAAGAGATTTATTTATATAAAACTTTTAAAACTAAATAAATATATAATTACATTCGAAGCTATATTTGAAATAAAAATGTTTTTGTTTATGGTATAAGTTAATTTCAATAAAAATTTTATTGAACTTGGAATGTTTATACCCGTCTAAACACTTTTGTCAAGTTGTTTTGCCAATTTTTGTTTTCGTTTTCTTAATTTAATTTCTTTTGTTACGATCTGTCACTTAAGAATAACAATGAACAATATATAAAAGTAAGTGACCAAATACTTAAAATTTTTGTGGACTTGAATGGAATGTGCTCAGTAGCACATCCATCTGTAGAAGTCCGTCACAGATTAAAGTTTGCGGAGATGGCGTTTGTTTGCGGAGACGTGTGAACTTTCTTCCTTCTGCTATAAATGTACTAATGAAATGGTTAGGATGATATTGCACACGTTTTGAATGATTTCTAGCTTGGATAATTTCTTTATTCGAAGATACAGCAGTTCTTCAGAGTTCAATGCCATAAGTCCAGATTGGTAGAAGTATGGCTTTGTAGATAAGTTTATTTTCGATTGAGACCTTTGAACTTTTATTCAGTATTCAATAGAGCTTCCGCAGTCTGATGTTAAATGCTTTTATTTTTGTAAGAATATGATACTTCCAAGTTAGGTTTGTGTCAAAGTGTATCACTAAATATTTTGCTTGGGTGAATTGGGGGATTGAAACATTGTTAAAGCGTACCGGTGGGCGTATATATCCTCTCATTGTAAAAGCTATTTTTGAAGACTTGAACTCATTTGCTTTTATTCTCCAGGTTTTAAGCCACAGAAATGTCATTTACCACTCGCTGTAGTTTTTTGGATGCTAACTGGCGATTTTCATCTGTAGCAATTACCACAGTATCATCGGCAAAAGTTCCAATGGCAGCACCAATGGTGAATCACTTATGAAGAGTAAGCATAATGCAGGTCCCAAAACACTGCGTTGAAGCACTCTAGCCTGATTTGGATGCAACGTTGACATTTTTTCGCCCTGTTTTACAAAGAAATATTGACATTCGATGTAGGCTTTAAAGAAAATGAAGTAATTAATTTGGAGCATCGTTTTAAATTTAAATATAGACCGTTATGGCAAACTTTATCAAACGCCTGAGATATGTTCAGAAGTGCTGAACTTCCTTTTGTATCTATAACATTAACCACTCCATGTTTTTCCTCTATTGTACTAAACTTATTTCTAAAACAAAACTGATGTTCCGGAATTAATCTTCTTGTATTGACAATAGGCATTAATAAGTAATAAAGGAAGGAATAAGAAAGGAATAAATTTTCCAACAACTTGGATATAATCGGTAGAAGACTGGTTGGACTATATGACTTAACATCTTCCGCCGTTTTTCTTGGTTTAATTATCATGCTAATTTGAGCCACCTTGAATTGAGGAAGGATAAAGTCTTTTGTGATGATAGAATTAAAAATGTTTCGCAGTGATAATATTACTTGATCCGGTTACTTCTTTAATGTTTTTAAAGGAATTAAATCATAGCCGAGTACTTCATTAATCTCTAATCTTGTAAGGAAGGAAATATTCACATATTTCCAACTTACATAGATTCAATATAAACAATCAACAACAACAACACTATACTAGTAACTTCAAAAGACATTTCAGTTACACATCACAATACACTATGTTTAACACTTAACATATAATTTAATTTCACTCACTCACAAAGAATTTTAATATGATCTAAAATGAAATAGATTAATTTTATTTAATATATTAAAATAACTCACAAGTAATACACCGCACATTCATGGGTAACACACGGAATACATCTGAAATTATTATTACTTACTTACTTACTTATTTGGCCATAACAACCCGTTACCGAGTTTCGGGACGCAGCATGTCTCCCCAGGCGCCTCTGCTGCATGCGCGCCTTCTCCAGTCTCGTATATCAAGTCCAGTTAGTGCTCCCTCAACTTGATCACTCCATCGGAGACACGGTCTACCTCTTCCGCCAACTACTGCTTCAAACACTTTTTTCGCCGGAGCATCTTTATCCATTCTCACGACATGACCAAGCCAGCGAAGCCGCTGGATGTTAGTGCGCTGAATTATATCAATATCGTTATAAAGCTCGTACAGCTCGTGGTTCATTCTAATGCGGTAGTCCTCGCCAACTCGTAGAGAACCAAAGATCTTACGAAGAACTTTTCTCTCGAATACTGCCAGTGTTGCTTCATCATTCTGTGATAACGTCCATGCTTCTGCGCCATACAAAAGTACAGAGAGGATGAGCGACCTTTAGAGCGTAAGTTTCGTTTGTCGAGAGAGAACTCTACATCCCAATTGCCTACTGAGCCCATAGTAGAATCTATTAGCAATGGTGATTCTTGGTCTGATCTCCAGACTGACATCATTTGTGTTCGTTACGGCGATGCCAAGGTAGATAAAATCCTTTTCAGATTTGAAAGTATAGTCGCCAGCCACTAGCTCGGTGTCCGAGCGACGCACATTCCTACCAGTAGCCGACATATACTTTGTTTTTCCCTCATTCACCGCTAAACCCATTCTTGCAGATTCGTTTTCGATACCAGCAAAAGCAGCTATAACATCATGCTTGCTACGCCCAATGATGTTGGCGTAAGCAAGGAGCTGGACACATTTGTAGAATATTGTTCCATTACGATGAACACCTGCCCTACGCATGATCACTTCCATGACGAAATGCCTCGCACGGTATCAAAAGATTCAGAGAGACTCGATCCTACCTTGACGGAGCTACGGGTATTGCTCAGCGTCATTC